GCTCTCCAGCTGAGGAGCCTGCCGCCCAGCGAGCCAGGAGAGCCAGAACCCAGCCCCAGCATCTTTACAGGGTGGGAAGAGGACAGGGGGGCCATCCAGGCTCTCCTCTCCCCAGGGAACTGCTGGCCCCAGTGCAGGTGCTGCTCCAGAGGAAGGCGCGGCATCCAGAGTGCTGCTGAGTTCTCTCTCAGTGGGCCATCAGGAGTGTCTTTCTGCCACGCGTGGTGGTGCACATCTGTAATCTCAGCAGCTAGGGAGGTTGAAACAGGAGGATCGCAAATGCAAAGCCAGCCTCAGCAAAAAGTGAGGCGCTAAGCAACTCAGTGAGTCCCTGTCTCTAAACAAAATACAAAACAATAGGGCTGGGGATGTGGCTCAGTGGTCGAGTGCTCCTGAGTTCAATCTCCAGAACCCTCATCCCCCCAAAATGGAGTGTCTTTCCCCTGGGGTCAGGAGTCCTCCGCCATCTGAGGTCCTGGCTGCTTGCTTGGTGAGCTTGCTCCTTTCCTAAGCTACTGTGTCAGGTATCCAATGCTGACTTTGTTCTGGGATTGAAAGCTGAGGTTTCAGTTGCAGCTGACACTTTCTGAGTGTGGCATCTAGGGACATCTAAAGAAGGAGGTGAGAAAGGACAGGGCTGGTGGAGAAGTCCCAGCTGGCTTTCCCACACAGAGGAGTGGCTGGCAACGCTGCGCTGGGCAGGAATGATGGCCAGTGTGTGTTGGAGAACGGAGCCCTGCTGACGTTGGCCAAGCTTGACGACTGATGTCTGTCATGGAGAGCACTAGACAGAGTAGGGAGACCTGGCTCTGATCCTGGCTCCACCACTGACCGACTGGACAGCTGTGAGGAGAGAGGCCATTACCACACGTGGAGCTGATTTCCCTGCCTGGGAAATGAGTGGTTTTTCGAGACCCAGTGATTGAAAACATTTCTAAAGCTAAAGAACTTCCTGTTCACATGAAATCCCATGTGGTCGACTCCATGTCAAGCAGACAGAAGTGGAGTTATCTTTATTGTTTGCCTAGAGCACCCTTTCCCTTTAGCAAGATTTCCACAGAACCCTGGGGGTTCCAAGGAGTCCAGTTTGGGTATCACTGGACCCCGCTGCTGTTGTTATTAGCTCTATAGTTTGTATCAGCTGTTCTGTGTTCACTTGACTAATGCTGGTCTGGCACCAGCTGCTTGGCTAGTGTGGACATGACGTTGGGTGATTCTCAGAACAGCTCCTCTCCCAGGGCGATTGTCACGATACCCGAGATGCATAGCCAGTACTTCCATCTGGCCCTGGACACATACAAAACATTGACTCTGGGGGCAGCAGGAGTTAGGTGGACATGGGTAGGGAGCAGGGTGATACGGAGGGAACTTGCTGTTCTCTTCCCTCACCAGGTCACCTGGATGATTGTGGTTTTCTACCCATTAGCACCTGAAGGATGTGATGCCTGCCTGTCAGCATTCCATCTGCTTCTGTCCAGCATCATGGGAGTATAGAACTCTCATACCAACAATAGGAGAACCAGTTTCATGACATCAGAAGAATTAATCAGTGACTTGTCATATGAAAAGTATTCTAGGATACATTCTCTGGTAGAGGTTTTTTTTTTTTTTTTTGCACAGGGCAGGGACTGGGAATTGAACCACCCAGGGGTGCGTTAGCACTGAGCTACAACCTCAGTCTTTTTATGTATTTATTTTTGGTCAGTATTGGGGATCAAACCCAGAGCCTCGTGCTTGCCAGGCAAGTACTCTACCACTGACCTACATCACCAGGATCCCCCTAACCCCCGCCCCCTTTTTTATACTGGAGATTGAAATCAGGGGCGCTTAACCACTGAGTCACATCCCCAGCCCATTTTTATTTTTATTTTTTTTTATTTTGAGACAGGGTCTTGCTAATTTGCTTAAGGTCTCACAAATTTGCAGAGGCTGGCTTTGAACTTGCAATCCTCCTGCCTCAGCCTCCCAAGCCACTGGGATTACAGGCGTGTGCCACCATGCCCAGCCCTTATTTCATTTTTTTGAAACAGGGTCTTGTTTAGTTGCTCAGGCTGGCCTTGAATTTGTGATCCTCCTGCCTCAGCTTGTCGAGTCTCTGGGATTACAGGTGCGCGCTACTGCACTTGGCACTCGGCCACTGAGCCACATCCCCAGCCCTATTTTGTATTTTGTTTAGAGACAGGGTGTCACTGAGTTGCTTAGCACTTTGTCGTTGCTGAGGCTGGCTTTGAACTTGGGATCCTCCTGCCTCAGCCTTCTGAACCACTGGGATTAACGTTTACTGTTTTATATGAGATCTTTTTTTCTCCAGAAAAGTCATGTCAGACCCTTAGGAGACTCACAGTGCTGGGCAATCGAGATGAAAAAGTCAACTTCCTGCATTCCTTGTCCCCTGTCTTACCCCTGTTAGTCAAGCATCCCAGTGAGAGTAGGAAGGAGAAGATGCTACACTGGCGATCAGTGACTGTCAGCCCCTGATCAGTGGGCATCTTGCTGTGTGACTTTTTGTAAATCCCCAGCCCTCTCTGAGCTTCTGCCTTCCCATCCATAAAATGGTGACAAATATATAAGATGCTTCTCCAGACAGTCTTGCTAGTTTAAACTTGCTTGATTCCATGACACGTAAAACACAGTGTACTAAGAGACCAAGGGAGCTAATTCAAGTCCCCCATTGCCCCTCTTTCTCAGTGAGGAGGGGTGCTCAGGAGGTATGACTATATTTCCTGTTAGCTCACTGTTATCCCCCCATTTGAACCAGGAACACTGAGACCTAGCCTGGGCTGGCATCCCCCATTCTGTCCAATCCTACACCTCAGACACAGTCACCATCCCTACTTGTCCCATCCCCCCAAGGATCATTGCTTCCCTGAACACTCCTGGTAGATGTCAGGCCCTCTCCTGAAAGTCAGGGTCCTAAATTCTCTCACAAGCTGCTTCAGGTTCTGATCCTCACCTCTGTTCCTCCCAGCCTCTTGCCATACAGATAATGACTATTTATTGAGTACCTGCTATGTGATAGGCTCTAAGTAGTTTGTTGTCCTGATTAAATGATATTCACAATAACCCTAAAAAATATAGTACCATTATCTCCAGTTTACAGACAAGGAAACAAAGATACTGGCAATTAAACTTGCCTGGGGTCATTTGGCTACAAGGTGATGAAGCCAGGACACAGCCTTGGCTCCAGTGCCCACACATACAACCATTGATCCCACGGCTTGATATTGTGGCTGGAGTAACTAGGAGTTAAATTCATCGAGTGCCTACAGCACGCCATGTACTGAACTCACGTCATTTCACTTAAAGTTCACAACTGAGAGAGAAAACCACTCCTTTCCATTTTACAGAGGTGGAACTGAGGCCTCAAAACATTAAATGACTTTCCTGTGTAGTAGATCCAGGCAGGCTTTGAACCCAGGAGAGTTCTGTGCATCTGAGCCTTTTTCTCTGTTACTCTGCTTTTCGGGACAAATAAATACCCACCCCACTACCTGTGGGAAAAATAAAGAGGAACCCACTGGTACCACCCAGTCTATAGTGCTCTTGAAAATGCTGGTTGGTTAGGCTACCCCAGAAGGGCTGAGACTGGACAGATCTGAGTTTATCCACTGACCTTGACTGAAAAAGAGTCAGGACACAGAGAAGCTTTGATCACCTTAAGGTTCTGCTTCTCTTCATCAGTTCTGGGTGATTCTGCAAGTGACCTGCTTTCTGGAGCCCAATGGTCCTTAGGGGCAACCTGGGACTTGGAAGGGAAGCAAGGATATCATGATAGATTTCCTGGATTCAGCCACATCCTAAAATCTCATGGGAGGCTACTGAGCTTAGATCTCCAGGTGGAACTTGGAAGACAGCTGACCCAGGATGCCTGCGCTCATTCAAGTACCACACAGTTGGTGAGGTCTAAAGTTAAGCGTGCTCACTGGGCTAGGGTGCACAGCATCCTGCAAGGTGGAATGTGCCATTCCCATCCACAGATGAACACACTCAGTCTCAGAAAGGCAACGTAACTTGTCCTGGGACCCAAAGCTGGAAAATAAGATTCAAACCCAGGTCCATCTTACTCCAAAGTCAGGGTTCTTTATAATACACCAATGCTCCTGTGCATTAGGGACTGTGGGGGTGGACACAAACCAGGGTGAGAAACCCACTGTGACCTATGCACACAGATCCAGAGGTCAGTTCAAGAACTACAAGTTCAGAGAAGGGCAGGGGTGATAGAGTTTCCACCTCACCCCGACAGCTCCGTCCAGTATTCTGTCTCAAGCGGCCCTTGCTGGGAGGCTCCCCTCTAGCTAAGGCTGTACCTTTTGGAAAGTCCCCAGCACCTCCGGGAGCCCTAGTGGGCTACTCTGCCCTGGTAAATAGAGGGGCAAATGAAAAGAAAACGAAATGGAGGGGCAGCTGGGAATTTATTTGCAGGAGAGACACTGGGGAGAGGGTAGTTGAGAGCAAAGAGCCAGAAAGAAGGAAGCAGAAAAGATGCGCATGGGTGCCGCGCTGGCCTAAAGCTGCCCAACTGGCCCTGCCCATACCAAAGTGCCCATGCCACCTTATTGGGCAGTGAGCACACAGGGAAGGCAAAGGTGGCTTGCAGCCAGCCAGTCGGGAAGATAATCTGCTCCCACAAGTTACATAATACAACGTGAAGTCAAAGGGAACCGCATTTGCAGTATTTGCTGCTTTGCATTAGTCACATCATTTTCGCCTTATTTTAATCTGGAGCACGAAGAGTTATGAAGGGCCACATTTCCGATGCAAATTATATTTACTAGGATTCCACAGGAGTCCTCTGTTTGTTGGGTCTTTTTGCCACTTGTTTCTTTTGTACTATACGATAGCTTTCGCTTTACACGAAAGATTAGAAAAGTTGTGCGTGGGATTCAGGAAAAAATCTATTTATGAGCCATCAGACCGGCTGGTGGTGAAGACGGTGGTGATGTGTTGGGAGAGGCTTGGCAGGTGTTAGCTGGGATCCAGGAACATAAGCCAGGGGTTGCTGGCCGGAATCTTGCAGAGCGGTGACAACAAACAATAAGAGTGGCATGGAACCGGCTGGAGCGTGATCTAGTAGACCTCCGGGCCTCAGTAACTTTGCGTCTCGGGCTCGGGCGGGCCTAGGCGAGCTCCACCCCTCCAAGGCGAAGGGTCGCCTGGGCCCGCCCCGCGGCCACGCAGCTATTGGTCGATGCCGACTCAGCCACCTGCCCCTACCTTGCGTGGGCGGTGCTACCTGGGCCCCGCCCCACGGCTCGGGTTCCCAGGCCGCGCTTCCCCCTCCTCCTCCGGCCCCGCCCCCGGCGTGAGGCCCCGCCCCTCCTAGTCCCGGAGCCCGGGCACCTCGTGATGTCACGGCCGCTTTGATACAAAGAGCCCCTTCGGCCCACGCGGGTCTCCCGGCAACGAGCGCGGGCGGGGGCGGGGCCGGCGCCTTCAACTGGTGCCGAACGGTGCGAGCGGCGGCGCAAAGGCTTGGGGATTGTTCCTTGAGCTCTCGGGTTGCCCGCCGCGTCCCTACTCATCCTACTGACCCGCGCTGAGCTTCTTGTCCCTCTGCAGAGGACCGATCCGCAACTGGTCGGGGATGCACACCCCGCCAACTCCCGGGAGTCAGGTAAGCGGTGGCCTCGGGCTTGGGCTCCTGGGGCTCCGGGAGGGTCTACATGGCCGGCCCGGGGCCCTGGGGTCAGAAGTTGGCAAGAGTAGAATTGCGCCCGCTCTCGCCCCGCGGTGTCGGTCCTCTTGATGCTGGCCTGGGAGGTCGGGTTACTTGCCTTGGCTGGCTCGGCCACGGAAGTGAAACCGCTGTCCCTGCTGCCCTCTCGGAGCCCTCTCACGTGCCCGGCGCCGGCGTCCAGGTGTGAGCGTGAACAAGACTAGCACCCGGCGCAAGGGAAGAGTGGCTGCGCTGTCTGCAGTGCAATTTCAAAAAGTGTTTCAGGGGGACCTACTGGGCCGGGGAGGGGCCTTGAGTGCCCAGACCCACCTCCTGCCCCGCCGAACTGGTGTTGCCCCCAGCGCCCTGCCCTTGGCTCGGCCGGTACCCAAGGGGACTGTGCGCAGCAAAGTTTTTCCGTAGCTCTTGGCCACTGCACCGAGTCCGTTTCCTGGCTTCCCCTGTCCTTCCAGAAGGGGACTCTTCGTGATCAGACGAGAGAGCCAGACCATTTCGGGTTTGGGGAAAGAGCCCTCCCCATCTCAGCATGACGCTGCTATGTCTGTAGATATGCGCAAGCTCCCCCAACCCGTCGTCCTCCGTCCTCCTCCGGTCCTAAGTGCCAGCGGTCCTCCTTGGTAGTTGTTGACACACCCGCTTCTCTGCCGGCGACAAGTGTCTCTCGGAAGGCCTGGCAGTGCAGTCTCTGTTCTTTGGGGAACCTGGTGTGGACACAGCCCCCGACCTTATTCCTTGTCATCAGGGCAAACCTGCCAGTGTCACCTCCTCCCCGTTTCCGCTTCTCTTTGGCCCTGCTCTCCCGGAAGAGGGCTAGAAATGATACATCCCTGGGCCCTGAGGGCCATGCCAGTTTTCACTGACTTATTTATAGACGTCCCTCTCAAAGGAGTGTAAGGGGCCAGGTTCCTGTGTCTGCCCTCAGCCTGTAGATCTTAGAATGGCAGACCTCTAGGCTGCTTCCTGGTGGTCCACCAAACCTCTGCCCTTCCTTCCAGAGCCAAAGCAGCTGGTAATATTCCAGGGTCCTGGAAGCAGTGGGCAGGCACATCCCCTGGGACAGACCTATACCTGCCCCCCCCC